GCATACCTCTATAATCGTAATTTTTATTATCGCAATTCGTTAATAATCAATAAAAAAAAAAAAAAAGTTTTTTAAAAAATAAATGAATAAATAAATAAATAATATATATATATATATATACTGTATATATATATACTGTATGTAAAGGTTTTTTAATTATTCTCACTATATTTTTATAAATTAAAAATTTAAAAATTGAATTCGATTATACTGTATGTTTAGGATAAAAGTTTTGTTAAAATTTATAAAAAAACTTTAGCAGGTTACACGGATGTTTGAAAAAGTGATGTAAAGTTAATTTGTTGCCCCCCCCAAAAAATTCGGTGTCACGAATATTTAATTCGGATCTGGGTCACATCACGCTACTAATTCTTTTAATGGCCAATTTTTCTGATCATGTCCGCCGGAAGCACGAAATGCGCAAAATGATAGTTTTCGGGAAATAGAAGGTTGGTCGAGTCGATTTTTCGTCGATCATCCCAAATCTTTTTGAAATGAAGTTTCGGAAGTTTAATTTACGATCATCAGCCGTAATGAAGCAAATAAGTCAAGATTGGGAAGAGATGATGGCTGAAAATGTATGCAACAAAGAAGGGTTATAAAATAATAATAATAATTCCTATCTTAATATTCAATCATGTTTATTATAAACGGTTTTTATTTTTTTAGTTTAATCCGGTACCTCTCTCGCTACAATTACTCGACGACAACTTGCTCGGTAAAGACTGCAAGGTCTTTTAACGAACAAAGAAAAGCCTCGACAGAGCGCTTCAATTCATCGTTAATGGTGTGCGGTCACTGTCCAATAAATAAAGACCATTTGTCCACTATCAGGGATTTAATAGATCGATTGGCGCGTTCGGAGAGGTCATGCAAAATATCGGAGGTATCGTCGTTCATCGATGTGAATCCATTTCGTTTATATTATAACCTTCACTAAGCGACTTGGAAATGGTAGATTCTCGGGAAAGGGTTCGAGAAGTGAAAACGAAGTTAAAGGTATGCAAGGAGGCTTTGACATCGAAGCGATCAGATTTACTTCAACTGTGATTCCGTAGTCAGCAATACAAAGAGATGATTTGGATATTAGATTTTATGTAAAATATTTATTACCCTTTTTGAGAATCGATATCATTGTTTTTTTTTCTAAATTCCGAATTTCTTCCCCAGAGAGGAATTCAAGGGTACACCGGAGAAATTGGAAGTTTTGTTAAGAGAAAAACATTTTCTAACGGCATCCAAGTTGTTATTGGAATCCATCCACATCTTGGAAAGAAAGGAGATGATGGGAATTAGTTCGCTTTCTTAAAAAAAGGAAACTTGATTTTTTTTTTTTTTTTTTTTTTTGAGTAAATTTTCATGCTCATGTTTCTCACACAAATTTCTATTCAGTCTCTTCACAAACTTTTGATCGAGGAATTGCACAACCATCTATACGTAAAAAGCACATACTGCAATAGTCGATGAGACAAATATGCAAAAGATCAGACAGAATGTAGGAATAATTCATAATCAATCTGAATTAATTAATGGCAACATTTTTTAATTCCGTGTGACGAAGCTTTACAATTTATGGTTAGTGCCTTCACCACTTATGGAATGGAGTTAGTTCTGAACGAGAGATACGTAAAACGAATTTCATGTGAAACGTGAGGAACAAGAAAGTTTACATGGTGGGAATGAGTCGATATTAGGTTGACATTTCGTTACACTGAACATCTTTTGTTTCTAAATAATAGTGAACACATCCTTTCCTTTAAACACACCCTTAAGTCCAAAATCACCCAGGCCGTTTAACATTTCAATATTTGATGAGGAAGAAGTATGT